GGACCCTTCCCCTTGACACACAGTGGCTTTGAGGATGTGATGGGGAGGGTTAAAACCACAGCATCCCTGCTGCTCACCGGTGTGTTTGGGAAGCTCTTTTCCTATCATTCCAGCCCTGTCCAATGGACTTTCCACTCCCAGCGATCTGGCTGCAGAAGCCAGCACAGCCACAAGCATTTGTCAGCTCCTCCTGAGCTCCTGGCTGGAGGTGAGCTAGTTGTACCAACAGCAGATTTGTGTTTTGAGGAAAGGAGAAATTAAGCAAGTTGGGGAGACAGCTGTTAAACTGCAGGAATAATCAATTAAGAGGCAATTTCACCATCTTGATGAAGCTTGTTTGCACTTAAAAGCCTTCTGAAGCAAGTGATTAGCCTCTAATTTATGGGACATGTAAAGCCCAGGGAAGAGACAAAGCAGCTCAGTTTTTACAGCCATTTCTGAGGTACCATAAGGGCTCTGAGTCCCACCACTGCTGCTCAGAAGGTTGGATGCCCTCGAGGACATCACCCACCTTTGGGCTTTGCAGGTCTAGCTCCTTGCCAGACCAATGCATTTCTCTGGATTCAGTGTCCCCTCCTGGCAGCATCGAGATGTCACCGCTCCTTCCTCACTCCCTCCACCTACTCCAGGAGGAGACCAAGCAGCCAGCAGGCAGTTATATCTTCTGGCACGCTCCAACTGATCCTTTTGGAAGAGTTTCTCTGGTCTCCTCTCCCCACACTCCTCGGGGGCTCTCCAGTTACTTCCCACATACCTACATGTTCCTGACTGCACAGCCAAACCCTCCAACCCCGGGACACCAGCACTGGGTTGTCAGGACAACATAATCAGCCACCCAAGGCACAGGCGTTACGCTACATCTTCAGTTCCATGACCTCATGCTATATTTTCCACACGGTCCATGCCTCACTCAGCAAACAGTTGGGTTTTCAGTATTTTCCATATCCTCCTCCCGTGCACAGCCTCAGGACCCACCATGCTCACATGTTATTGAGCCTGTGTTGAGCACAGGCTTGTTTCCTTACAGATGCTCTTGGGAAAGCACTGAGAAACCAGTGGATACCTCCCTTTGCAGTCCCTCCTCTCTGAAGCAGATACTATTGCAAGAAACAGAGCACAAGGAGAGTTAGAACTACTGGGGCCAGATGGTTTCATCCATCTGAGTTGCCAAAGCTTGGCTCTCCAAAGCACCGAGCCTGCCTGGACTCTCTCATAATCCTAATGAAGATCGGTCAATATGGGGTCATCGGCTCTTCACCCCATTTATAGCCACCTAGCTGGTGAGGACAAGGATGTTGCTCACCAGGGTTTGCCACCAGCTCCCCATCTGTGGCATGGGGCCTCCTGCCCATCCCCGTGCTCTGGCAGGGATTCACACCACCCCAAACCCGTGATCCAACCCACCAAGCATCCTCTGAATGAGCCCCCTGTTCTCGGGGTCAGGCCGAAACCTGAGCTCCCCTCTGAAGCAGCAGCACAGAGGGCCTGAGGCAATGGGAATCTGCTGTTCTTCACCGAAAGTGCTGTCAGTATTTGATCAGTTGGAGTGTTTTGACATGGTTCGCAGTTGGATACGCTTGTCCTCAGCCTCTGAACTTATACGTGTCAACCAGGCTAGTGCATGTCAGCCTCCACGTCGGTGTCTAGGAGGTCTACAGCTGACAGGATAACCTTTTCATGACCAACATGTTGCCACTCGGAGGAATGGAGACAAGAATTCGGTATGATCTCCAACTAGATAAGAAACTACTATTCACCTTTTTGCACCTGAAGAGCTCCTCGCCCTTTTCCTGCCTTTCTGTTGCAAGTCTTGGCCATTTCACACAAGCTTCTTTAAGGGAACTTTCCATGCAGCTAAGCAGTGGAAGAAAATGACTTAGCAAATGCAAGTCTCAGATCTGGACAGCTGGTGTTACCTAGGATCTTGCTCACAGACCTACCATAAGGCCAAGGCACTCGTCCTCAGTGGTTTGAGCCATATCATGTGTCACAAGACACGAGCATTTTCTAATGATGGGTGACATTTTATGCCCAGAACAGCATCGGTTTGGATATCAGACATCTGGCAAATGATTTCGCTCTGGAAAGGTGTCAGGAACAACCAGAGCCTTTTCTTTTCCCACCAGGAAAGCACCATTTGCCGCCTCCCATCTCTGATTCAGGGAAAGACCTTGCCTGTGTCTTCCCTGGGCAGATTGCTGAGACAGCCTCCGCTACCAAGGTCACACTCTTGCAGGAAGGCTTCTTGCTCTACTACTCCATGTCTGCACATACATAGAAATACCAGCACAGTTTAAATCTCCAAATGCAAACGCAGCCAATATTGGCCAAGACCATTTTGAATTTCTTCCAAGTCTGCCTCTGCCCCAAGATCCTATACCATCCATTCACAAAGAGTGAGTTAATTAACACAGTATCACTCAGCTTGCTCCCGCCTATCGGTATCATCTAATCAGCGTCCTCAACTGAAAGGCAATCTCTGGCTTGATCTTGGCCACCGAGCAGTTCCTGAACAGAGAAAGCTTTGTTCACCAAGTCACTGGGGACGTGAAGGTCGGCTCCCAACCCCATCCTGCTGTTGCCCTTGCCTTGGAGAGCGAAGTAGAGCCTGTTTTCATGACCTTGTTCTTTTCTTCCTGGGTTTGACAAGAAGCTGCCATTCACCCCCGAGAGCTGCTCTGTGGGCTGAGAGCTGTATGGCAGCACAGCATCACAATAATTCACCCAATAGGGCCAGCCCAAGGTGCAACAAACCCACTGCCCACCAACACACCAGCAGCCTTGACAAGAAGTCATCTGCCACAGTGTGACTAAGTCTCCTCAGAAGATAAAATCCAGATGGTTTTCCTTGGCAGGAGCAGTCCACATTCCAAAATAAAGCACACCAGAGCATCGCATCTGGGTGGACAGGAGGATGTGTGCACTGCTGGATTGCACCCTTACATGATGGACTGTGTCAAGAACAAACCGATTGGCAGAAGAAGGGAAGGTTTAAGACCATGAACTCTGCCAGATGACATTCTACCCCCTTCCACAACACTGATCCTTCCCAAAAATATATATGCACACTACGTATATAATAATCCTACTCATGTATATGCACATGCCTTGAGATACTGTTATTATATTGCCACTATATATTTGCAAGATTTTGAAAGAAGTAGGCAAGCTGTCTGTGTGACATGGATTTTATGGGGGGGTTATCTGGGGGGAAGTAATTTCATAAGTATAAATTGATAGTTGGGCTGACAGAAAGGCAGACTGATGTAGATGAACGTTTTTCAAATAGGAGATAGCTGTAGGTGGGGAAGGCAAACCTTTCATCTTTAAAACATTTCTTTTTTTCTTAAAAAAAACTTAAAATGCAATGTTTTAAGAAACACCCAAGCGAGGCAATTTTTAAGGCAATTTTAATAATCATGAGTGGAAACATCTATTTTTCTACTGCAAGCCTGGGTGGTGTTAACCCAGCCATTATGTACACCTGGATCCTACAAATCAGGCTCATGCTGGCTTCATGGCATTTCCTCCACACCACACATCCTCCATTCTTCCTAAAGCCTCCTTCCCACAAGCAGAGCACATCTTCACTTTCATCCCACAGTGAATATCACCTTGCCCAGATCCCCTCCACCCCGCTAGCACCAGCCAGCATTCCTCCAAGATCACTAAGCCAAGTGGCAGAGAAATCCCAAGCAGTAATTTCCCATCCTGTTCATACCAGAAAATTCCAGTTATTTTCCTATGCCAGGTGGATGGAGCAGTTCTCATCCCCATGGGTTATGGGCACTGGTGAAAGATGTGTCACTTCTACCATTCCTTGACTATAGAGACCCTCAAGGCTCAGCATAGCCCCAGGACAGACAATATTTGATCACAGAACCATAGAATATCCCAAGTTGGAAGGAACCCATAAGGATCGTGGAACCCACTCCTTGCTCCACACAAGACCACCCAAAACTCAGACCATGTGACAAAAGGGAGAATGTTGTCCAAACACTTGCTGAACTCCGGCAGCTCTGTGTCATGACCACTGCCCTGGGGAGCCTGTCCCCACCACCCTCTGGTGAAGTATGTTTTCTTGATTTCCAACCCGACCCTCCCCATATATTTAATACCCAATGAGAAGAAGTGATACCCAACACCTTGCTGACTCAGGAGATTATCCAAACCCTTCCCTCTTGAGTCAACAGGACACCCCACACAAGAAGAGACCAGACATGTCTGTTGGTTTTTTTCTTCGGGATTTTGTTGTCTTTTAATTTCACCTTGCTACGTGATTCCTGACAGAGTGTCAGTGTCTCCTGCCGGGTCACCACCTCCAGACCCTGCTACATTCAGTGTCAAATCAAGCTGTGCCAATGAACCAGTGTTCTGAGCCTCGCAGCCATTCATCGCATGTCTTTACATCATTTGGGAACAGCAGCACAAAAGGACACAATGCATGAAAACGAGACGGGGATGAGGCGATGGTCGGCTGAAAGCTCGACCCGGAGAACTTGCAGAGATGGACCCGTGTGTAGGGTGGGAGATGCAGGGCTCCTTCCCCCTGACGGCATGGGCTGGTGCCTCCCGGAGCCAGGACATCACTCCTCACCACCCCATCACCCACCTCTGGGTACGGGATGGGTCTGTGCTGGAGGAGAGAGGTGGGGATGTCTCCAGCTCCAGCACCAAGCACCAGTCACACTGAGTGGCAAGGACAGGATGCCGTCACCTTGCTGTCCCCACCACCCTTCTGGTGAGGAGCCTGCTGCGGAGTTCACCTCGAAACAAGTGGGGTAACCTGAGAGCACCGAAAAGAACCGACCCCAAAACCCAGACCTACCTCCTGAAACAAACAGGTGTTCCTTCCCTGCCGCTGGGCTTTTGCAACCTAAACATAACGTTTATAAAAAGTAAATTATTTCATCTTATAACTTAAGTGCATTGAGTATTTCCTTAAATATGGTTCACGCTGAAAATAAAGTTACTTTCACTGTACAGTAAATTTCTGATAGACTTAGAAATAAACTTTGTGGATACAATCTGGCGGGACATCCCCGCGCACAGCCACACGGCTCTGCACACACGCGTGCCACACACATACACTCAGCCCCACATCCTGGGGAGATGTCTCCAGGCTTCTACATTTGCACGGCAACCTGAATCCAACCCGCCAGCTGCCCAACCTGCCCCTAACCCTAGGATCCTAAGAGAAACATGAAACTATGCAACCCAAAATTTGTTGGCTCCCTGGGCATCCCGAGCTACAAAATGTCGCAGGACAACGTCCCATTGCAGGGCTCTGCCATGCTCAGGAGGTGAAGTAAGAGCTCTGCATGGAGTACAGGTGGTCGATGGGGTTCCCTGCCCGTGTCTGCAGTGGTCCCGCGTCTGCCGTGGCGAGGAAGCAGTCACCCAGGTTGCTCAGTGAGGTATCGTCGCTGTCCATGTCATGGAAGAGGGGCTCAGCACCTTGGGGAGAAAGGAAGGAGCAGTGCTGAAGGGATGCTGCATACTGCTGCAGCTCCCAACCTCTGCAGCCAGCTCCTGCTGGGACAACAAAAGCCTGTTGAGATGCTCTGGGGGTGCTGTCCCATGCCAGGGTGCTAAACCCATATAGGTTATCATCATCAGAGAGGTGTTGGCACCGTCAGAGATGCTGGGATGGCATCAGTAGAGAGATGGTGGAACTATTAGGAAGGAGGTGGCACCATCACGGAGGAGATGGCACTCATAACCTTCCTACCAGGACTTCCTGCTTTCTGCTCCCCTTGCTTTGAGTCCAGCTGCTAAGTGGGGTGCCCTGATGGTGCTGGCCACCAGTTTTGCACTGTGGGGGGTTTATGGCAGCAGAGATTGCTGCCTTCCCATAACTTGCTGCACCCCTGTCATGCAGCCCACCCTTTGACATTGTGAGGACAAGCAAGAGTGCAAATCCAGGGGATTTGTGGCTTGTTCCCCCCCCTCCTCCCCTCCCCACAGCCTTACCATAGGGGTGCATGTGGTCTCCAGGCATCTGCGGGGGGGTGAGCCCTTGCCGGAAGGGGTCGGAGCTGTAGACCTGCTCCATGCCCAGGAGCTGCTGTGGGGGTTGCAGAGCAGTGTAGGGGTTCATAAGCCCCTCCAGCCCCCCAGGGCCACTGCTGTTTGGCTGGGCTGCAAAACAGGAGCGAGCTGTTGGCATGGTGGGGATGTGGTTTTTTGGTGGGAAGGCATGGGTGGAAAATGGGGAGGGAAATGGGGAGGGTTGGGTACCTGAGCTCAAACGCTGCGTGTTCTGCTGGTCCTGCTGTTGCTGCTGCTGCCTCCTGGCCAGCTTCTTCATCTGGGTGAAAAGAAGGGGAAAGAGCAGAGGGTCATGACACGGCTGCAGGGAAGGGTAGGAGGGGCCCCCTGCACCCACCTTTGCTCTCTGGTTCTGGAACCAGACCTGCACCACACGTACGCTCAGTCCTGTCTCAGCTGCCAGCGTCTCCCGCACCTGGAGAAGGAACAACATCTCAGTGCGACTCACACAAGATTTGGGGGATTCAGGAGGGGGCAAAGCTATTGTCCAGCCCCCAGGCCACCCCCAGTGTCCCCATACCTTTCTACAGGGCTTGGAGGAGACCTCAAAGGATGCCTTGAAGGCCCTGCGCTGCTGCGTGGTCAGGATGGTGCGCGGGCGCTTGGGCCGCTTGTGGTCCTTCCCTTCCTCGGCTCCCTTTGCTGAGGCCGGGCCCATTTTGCAGACACTGTCTTCATCGTCACTTTTACCTGGGGATGGGTACAAACAACAAAAAGGAACCAAGATTCAGGTCCTTTTGTGGGGCTGGATGGCTGTGCCATCTTCATCTTCACCCACCAAGATGCAACACAGGTTGGCCAACACACATCCTTCCCTCTCGTGAGCTGTAAATCACTTGCAGCCTTTTCCAGCAAGCTCACTATTTCTTAATTGCTAGCAAAACTGAGTTGCTTGTTAGAAACCATGCAGTGCTCAGCAGGCTGCAAGGAGTTGCCTGCCCCAAGTCCCACTGTGGCACTGCAGTGTTTCCGGAATGCATGGGGAGTATGCAAATCTGATGCCCATAGCAGGAGGACACAGTGTGAGGATGATCCCCACTCACTCATGCTTTGTGGGATGTCTCCTGTGCTCACCATCTTGGGAGACACCTTCTGCATGCAACATAGCACTGGTAGTCCCCAAAGGTACCGGAGCAGTGGTTCCAAGGAAGAGGGATGCTGTGCCCATGGCCACACCAATCAATCAACTCCCAGTAGGTATTTAAATGGCTTTTGGGGATCTGGATGTGAATTTCACCATTGAGTTTACTTTTGGTGGAGGGGAAGAGGTTTAACAAACACTAGGATTTGAGACCTGCACTGATGGAGACACTGAGATGCCTTTGCACCCCAGCAAGGGGTGCCTGCCCCAGTATCCCTAGTCTCAAAGGGGATGAGCTCAGCACTCAATGCTCAGGCCCATGCTGCCGTTCTCTGGGAAGGGGAAAAACCCACTCCGATCACTACCCCCCTTCCCATTCCCCCAGCACCTGCTCCCCAAATCCCTCCATGTGTCAAAGGAGAAGCGGAGCCGGATTTGGCTGGGTATTACTTTTAATTAACTCTCCCTTTCAAGCCTTTCCCCAACGAGGGGGGAAATTAATGACTGTCTGGGGCTGCCCCTGACGTCACCTGGGAAGGGGCCAGGGTGGGGGACATTGTGCATGCCCCCAGCCTGACTCGCCGGCACGGGGGGGCCAGTGTGGCCACAGCAGGGCCGGGACATTCCTCGCCTGGGAGGATTTAGGGAGAGGAGAACAGTTAGGACGCTTTTAATTGGAAACCGGGGTCCTCTTTCAGAGGGGCTTGTTTGCTTAGGCTCGGCCGGGGTGGGCTCGGAGGAGGCAGTAATTGAAGTGAGGGTTGGGGAGATTACAGGCAACATATGGCTTGCTTTTTATCTGCACTTTCTCATAAAGTGGCCTTTGCTGTGCAGAGAATGGGGAGGCTAGAGGGGCTGGCAGCCCCGCGGGGACACCCAGCTGCATCCCTGGATGAGGGAGCTGGAGGTGCTGAGGGCTCAGGATGGGCTCCCACCATCCAAGGGGGTGCGTGGCACTGGTGAGCCCCATGCTGTCCCCCTGCATCCCTCCGCTGGGACTTTTCTACTGAAAGTAGTGTGTTCCTGGGGAATTTCTGCAACGCAAAGCCCTCATCTTGGCCAGCAGCTGGGAGCGGGGCCGGCCACAGGCTGATGAGCCACGGGGGAGAAAAGTTCCCCAACCTTTCTCAAAGTGCCCTTTTCCCCCAGTCGGAACAAACCCAAATTGTTGTGGGATCAGCAGCTGATTCTGTTCTTTTCCTGCCTGACATTTCCTCCTCAGTTCCTATTTTAACCAAAGGCGTTTGCATCCCCCATAGAGCAGAACTCGCTGTGCCGTGGCCACCAGGACATCCCTAGTGCACTTTCCCAGGGTTCCAGCACAGTGGTCCACCCTTGCTGTCCTCCTTCACTTTTTGTTACCATCACTGCTATTTGGGGAGAGGTTTTTTTTGTTTGTTTGTTTTTGTGGGGTTTTTTTTTGGATGGGGGGGGGAGATCGGGTGAGTTTGATTAAAAAGCTGTTGTCTTGCTTCATCCCCACCCCTGTCCCATCCATGCAAAGGTAAATCCTTCCCTCCACAAACCAGATTCCCCTACAACAACCTTCTTTTTACGTAGTTTGGGAAGCACCAATGCCTTTATTAGGGACAACATTAACCCAGTGCTTTCTGCTCACAGCTCATTTCCAATTTTGCTGGGTTTCTCCCTAAATTTGTCATCCTGGGAATCACGCAGACATGAGTTGCATCAACTGCATATTCAGGTCTAAATGTTGATCTCAATATCCCCCCACTGGGGCTGCCACAGGGATGCCAACCCCCTGCCATATTCCTACAGCATCCCACCTCAGCTCAGTGAAGTGGCCCCAGGACACGAGGAGCAGATCGGGGCAATGCTACACCAGGCGGCCCCTTACCAGAATCCGACAGAGCCGGGCTCACCAAGCTCAGCAGCTCGCGCTCCTTCTCATAGTCGCCCTTACAGAGCAGCTGCCCTTCCTTCAGCACAAACTCGTCTCCCTTCTGCAGGCGCCGCTCGCAGACGCAGCAGCAGAAGCAGTGCAGGTGGTAGACGCTCTGCTGGGCGCGCATCACCAGCTCGCTGGGCGCGATGCTCTCCAGGCACCCGGCGCATTTCACTGCGAACAACCTGCGGGAGCAAGGTGAGACCCCATGGGATGCACCCCAGGGAGCTGCGGTGGGGTTGGTGGGCATCAGTACAGAGTGATTTTGTCACCTCGTCTGTGGATGCACCAAAAGGACACGCATGACGGTGTGACGTCATGCATTGATCTTGTGGGGGGGATGCTGGTTTGGGTCAATGTTGGTGGATTTTGTTCAGCTATGGCTGAACCATGAAAGATGAAGAACCCAATGCCCAAACCCAACAGCCCAATTCCCACCGTGGGATGAAGGACACATCACTTACCAGGTTAGGAAGCCAACCTACCCATCCAGCTGCCTCCAACTAGAGGCTGCCATGGAGACCCCACCAAAACCCCATAGAATCACACAATCATTAAGGTTGAAAAGACCACCAAGATCATCCAGTCCAACCATAACTGATGGCCCAGGCTGGCAGCAGGGCACTGCCATGGCCCCATCTTGGCTACAGGGTGCAATGAGGTGCCCCAGACTTCACCAGGGCAGTGAGGTAGGGCTGAACTGAAGACTTAGAATCATAGAATCTTGGAATAGAGAAGACCATAAGATCTTCCAGTACAACCATCAACCCACTCCCACCATGCCCACTGACCATGGCCCTCACAGTGCCACACCTCTGCTTTTTGTGATGGTCTTGATGACTTGTTGACCAAATGGAAAAGAAGCTCAGATTGTTCCTTGGCAATAATGTGACAATAGTTGCAGCATTCCTAATTGTATGGTCCCTAATAATAACAGTGATAGCAATAGCCTATAGCTTTAAGCAGAGCTTGTCCTTGACTTTTAGTGCCCTGATCAAGAACCTCAGGAGCACAATCACTGATTTACAGCTGGGGAAACCGAGCGTGGAGCCAAACCTGGGCTGAGGGCTCAGTGCAAAATTTGGAGGTATCAAACCAGAACCTCCCCACTACCCCAACCAGTCATCTATGTTTTTGGCTTGGATAGCATAAAAAACAAACAAACAAAAAACCTCACCCCTTATCCAGCCTCATCTTAAATATCTGTGGGAACAGGACATCAGTATTCTCTGTTTTGATGACTTTGGCCCAGAAAGAGAAGGCAGAAGTCAGCACATATCCTGAGGTTATCTACGAGCATCCCTGGTGCCCTGGATGTGTCCCCAGGCAAGACCTGTATGGGAGCACCACTGCTTCACCTCAGCTGTTCAGACCCTCAGCTCACTGCTGGAATTACTGGTTTTTAACAGAAAAGGTCACCAAGCTCTGATTAAACACTTCCAGCAGTGCTGGGTGCTGGTTCCTCTGCCCATCTCCCTCATCCCTGCGTAGTCTCTAGGAACGGAGCTGCCTGCCCAAGCACCATACTTTTAGTCCTTATTTTGTGGGTACACTTACCAAAAAAAAAAACCACCTTGGGAATGCAAAGTGCTGAGTCAGACCTGCTGCTAAGAGGAGAGGAACAGATATACGGGATAAACCCATCAAAAATTGGGGGGGGTGAGGGAGAGAGGGAAGAAATGTCTTCCTTTCCCCTTCTCACTTTCTCACCCAACAGTGGCTCAGTGTCTCTCAGCTGTGCAAGCCTGAGGGGACAAGCATGCAGCAGCTGGTGGCATCTGTGCCTGCATCAGTGACCAGCGATGCCCGCCGGGACAAGCACTGGGAAGGGACTGCCCCCAGCTGTCAGATGTGCACACAGCTGGAGGGAGGGCTCCCACCCTTGTTGAGTGCTGAGGGCTCAAGAGATAGGGCACAGTGTCCCTAAAGGTACCTGTTGTGCTTTTCGGCTGTTCCAGCCCTGAGGAAGGCAGCCCAGTGTCAGCGCTGCACTCATTCCGTCTGTCATTACGTCTCTCTTATGTCAAAGGGAGGCAATTTGTACCCACAGGGTAATGCATCCTCATCCTGTTTAAATGGAGTGCAAGCCCTACCTGTTGGGATTGCTGTGTTCCCAGTGATAAACCACTGATAAACTGCTAAGACAGTGCAAGCAGATCTTCATGAATGAATCACAGAATGGTTTGAGCTGGAAGGGACCCTTAAAGGACATCTGGTCCAACCCCCCTGCACTGGACAGGGTCAGCTACAGCTCCACCAGGTGCTCAGAGACCCATTGAAAGCCTCAGCAAAACCCTGGAAGAGAGTATTTATCAATTCTGCGTTCCCCATCCTCACAGAACCACTGGAAGCTGCCAGCTTCTGCACGTGGCCAAAGCCCAAAGCTATCATCGTGGCAGCACATCCTGTGTCCTGCATCCCACATCATACATCCCATACCCTGACCCATGCTTTCCCATGGGGCTGTCGCAGCACCCGCCGCCCCCTGTACTCCTTTATGCGGAGGTGATGCTTTGAAAGGGGCTGTGATTGACGGGCGCTTCCCGGCTGCTCTCTGTCTCCGGCTGCCTGCATGCGCCGCATACAAACGGGAGCCCCTCCGGGTTGAGAACAGTGATATTCAACACTGACGGACAAATCCCAAACACCACTGAGGTTGGTTTCGGTGCAGCTCTGCCGGGTGGGTTCACATCCCCCTGGGATGCTCCTTGCAGCATCCATGCCCCCTTCCCTGGTCAGCCCCAGCCACAGGGGCTATCCTTAGGGCATGGCTTCTTCCAGCAGGTGTGATGGCACATTCACCCCAAGAGGACAGACACATGGGGACAGCAAGAGGCACGGGGAGAGGGGCTCAGTGCCACCGAATTGAGATGTCCTGGCACCCAGCCACCTCCTCACTCACAGGACAGGGGACAGCGGGAGTGGGTCCGTGGAGAAACACCGATCGCAGTCAACCCCACACTCAGCGCTGGGTTTGGGATGTGGCTCATTCCTGGTTTCCCTGTCCCCATAGGTCCCCAAAGTGGGGCACCAGTGCTCCCCCAGCCCACACCCTGGGCTGTCCCCTGACCCCTCTGTCTCCCCGCTGCCCCCTCCTCCCCCCGAGGCGGACAAGTGTTCCCTTTACTGCCTGGCAACGGCGCCTGGGCTAAGCTTGCTAAAATATGAGTGGTTTTTGGCCGCAGTACCAGAAGGCTGCAGTCCTACAGAGAGAAAAAAATTGAGCACTCCATGCCATGGCTCCAGAAAGGGGGAGAATTAGATTTCACACCGAGCAGGCTGGACCATGGCATTCTTTAGTTAATGCTTAACAAACGCCCAAACAAAAGCAGCCAACTTAGCTGCATGTTTGTAAAATGTATTCTCAGCAGATTCGGGTTTATTGGGGAATTCGCTCGCTTTGCAGCAAGTGCCGTTTCCCTTTTTTTGTTGTTGTTGTTTAATTTCCCTTCTCCTCCCCCCGATCCAGCTCTGTCCCGCTGGCTGGATGCATCCCAGACCTATGAGGGAATGAAGCAACCTTGCTTCCCAGTAATCCCCCCTTACTTCTGGGTATGGGGACCCCAAGAAGCACTTCACCAAACGTACACCCCAGTTCCTGCCCTGTAGTGCAAACCCCTTCCCAGCTCCATACCCAGCCAAAAGCACAGGCAGAAAGCAAGCTCTGGGGCAAAGTCATAGAGCACTGAATTTTGGGGACCCCCATCTGCAATATCCTGAACCACTGGGAAGGGTAACAGCCCCCCCCATGCAGCACTACTGAGCACCTCCATTCAGGAAGGACATGGGGAGTGGAGTGCATCTCAGCTGCTCCCACCCCAACGTGCCCCCAAGAAAAGAGGGATAATTGAAACCCCACAATATCACCGCTCCAATTTAATATCGAGAGGAGCACACGGGAGCCAGAGGTCAGAATTAATTACACCCCACCATATTTCAGCACGCGGCCGCCGCTCCGCGTCCTTTCCTAGGGGAGCGGTGCTTCCACGGAGAGGTCGACAGCCATTATTAGAAAGAGCTGATTTCAACGGACCCCCAGGAGCTTTTCAGAGCCTTTGTTTGCACCGAGATTAATGGGGAGGCAAACCATGGAACAGCAAAGCCACCACCAGCAGGACGATGCACCGTGGCCACCAGCAGCCCAACGTGGCTCTGGGCAGTGCACCGGTGGAGAGCGAAATGTTGTTGGTGCCATTCATTTTTTGGCAGATTAAAATGTGATTCTCTTAAAATCCTTTTTTCTTTCTTTCTTTCTTTTTTTTTTTCCCCCTTGCTTTCCAGAAAGCAGGAATGCTGGATGACCCCACAGTGTGCTCGTTTTCCTGCCCTGTGGGGTGCTGGCGGCGCGCTGGGTTGCTGGGGGAGAAGAAGAGCGATTTCCATCCCCTTCCTCAGGTTGAAAAATGAAAACAAACAAACAAATAAATAAATGAAAAGCGAATTTCCCTGCAGAATTTCAAAAGGAAGATTAATAAAATAGAGAAGGAAAACAAAACAAAAAAAAAGGCACTTCCAACCTGGGGGGATTGTAGGCACGGGCACAATGTAGACAATATCCTGCGGTGCTGCAGGGTGCTTCCCGGTGCTCCAGCGGCTGTAAAAACCACTGGGTTGGATGAAATCTAAACAGAGACAGCGCAGCCTGAAATAGAAGCCAGCTGCTCGGGACCAGCATGGCAAACTGCATCTCACCAGGCTGCATCCTGCATCTCTATGGGCTCAGCCTCGGGGCAGCTACTGTTGGAACAGAGTTTTGCACGAGCTCCGAATGAATGGAAATATTCATCCGAAACAACATTACATTTAAGCTGTCTTTTCCTCCCAACTCAAGCTCATCTCACATTGCAGCCCTCTCCCATGCATGCTCCCAAGAGTAACAAACCCTTCACATCCCACAGCACTGAGCATCCACAGGAGCGCAGCCCCGCAGTTACCAGTAAACAGAAAAATGCAGTGCTGATCCGTCAACACTCATACTCTGGTTGGTGCCTGCAAGTGCAAAGCAGCCTCAGGCCCTGATACAAGTGTAAGAGTCAGTGTCCATCAAAGGGACAATACTCAGGGATCCTACGAGAGCTCAGCACTGAGGCTCATTCGGCGCGCCCTCATGAACTCAGCTCCCTTCTTTTACTTGCACATGATAACCATACAATATTTAATCACATATACAGATAATCATTATCTC